ACCAAACGTCAGATAGTCGCATAAACAAAGCATTACGGTTACCATCTGTCAAACCAATATTGAATTTGTTAGTAATGTAACATCTCAAGAGTTCTCATTAAATGGAAGAAGCCATAATTTAGAATGGATATGTGCACATAAGAAGAAGTGGTCGAGTTTAGACTTTGGCTTCGACCAAAGTTCAACCCACACAGCCATGGTGAAAAGAAATGGTAAAGTGATCGCCAATCAGAGAGATGGTCAGATAAACAAAGTATTGCATGGTATGTAACGTCCAACGCGTTCCCATTTTATTAGTAGAAGGCAGTTTCCATTGCTGAACACTTATGCTTGGACAGAAGGGGTTGATAAGATACTATGGCGTGATTCAAAGGCAGAACCACGAGACAGGAGCATGATGACGATTAAAAAAGTCTCGATTTTAGATTTAGCCAACAGATGCTTTATTATATTGCCCACCGTTTATTTAATCCAGCAAGATCACTCCTTGCCCTCTGTGGCGCACTCACGGCAGAAGGTGACAGAGAGCCCTCATAATCATAAGCTCCATTCTAAAATGCCAGGGATACTTAACTCATATACACTACGCATTGAAGTTGAGTAGCTATGATTTATTAGGCTACGATCGTACATACGACGAATTTATTTGCATAAGCACTTTGCCAAGAGATTATCTAAATGCTTATGAAAGGGGACTACTATGAACGTTCATTTATGTCCGTTTGGCTATTCATGTTTATAAGCAATTTCCTGAAACATCTATATGCTCGTGCCGTGGTTTAATAAGAGACGATTTAGTGAGGGACTCATTAATGTTAGAGCAAATGCACCTTTGCCAAGTGGACTGCTGCATAAGCCATTATTACAGCGCTACCAGCTTCTTTATGTCATGATTATGCATCCAAGTTGCAGTTATCACTAAACCATACTTAACTACAATACTGACCAATGCGGAGCCAACGCTACGTATAAAATGAGAAAAGAATTTTGTCACACATTGTGATGGCATTTATGTATACGACTTCCTGAATGAGTGTCTGACACCTTGACTACAATCCTACTCCTGTTTGGTGAGTTGGTTCCACCTCTTCCACTTTCCTCCTATTAAAAGGTTTCAGACGGGTCCAATGCCCTATATCACCTATTACCTGCAAAACCTAATACCTAATATCCGAATCCTATAAATGCGGTAGGGTAAAATAATATCGAATTGTTTAAATATCGCCTACGCGAACAGAAGGGTCAAATAGCAAATAAAAGACCTTTGGAACAGATATAAGTCTCCCAACATGAATTGTGGCAGTTAAGGAAAAGGTGGAAGCGATTCAGTGTTATGCACACTTTCTAGAACAATGGCATTAAACAAGAGACATTAATTTTAATAAAGTATGTTTGGTTGACTGTCAGTATGGGCTGTAGGCGCTTAACCATATGGCATTTGAGCAATAGCATAAAGTGCTGATGATTTGTCATTTCGCTGAATGAATGTTTTCTGAAGCGCCATGCCTTCTCTTGTTTATTAAGAGGTTGCCGGGTTTTCCTTCTTAAACCCAGGTGTAACTAAAACATAGCTGCATCCTATTCCTTATCCAACCTGGTTTCCGCGAGAAGTAATACTTTTATCATGTGACTACCTGATGTCTAGCTATTACTTTAGTGTTCGACTTGCCCTTGTGGGCGTGATCTGGCCTCCAAACCAAGCCAAAGCTCAATCCGTTTATCTCCTTATGGAATACACGTAATCATCCTAGCTCACCATGTTCGTCTAGCTAATGAGGTCTCGAGGTGCTAAAATGGTGGAAAAGGAAAGCTAACTCGACATTTTTTTACAACTTCCATTTTTTCGCCTCATACGACAGGCACATTCGGTGCAGAGAAAGCGCTTTTGTATCGGACGCAAGATCATCGAAAGTTCTTCACAACACAAGGGCTGAAAAGGATGGCCACATTAACTCAAACTTGCTCCCATGTTCAGCATAAAAGATACTAATGACTGAAGAAACACTATCTGGAAATATTTCGAGTTAAACTTCTCTTTAATATGTCCTAGCATAGATGTTGGGGACGATACTGCAGGACTCTTTTTAAACACTTATTCCCTGTGAAACATCTGTTATGGGCCAGCGTTGCAACGTCTGGTCATGGGCACTATTGATGGTCAACGAAAATTCCTCGTTACGATTCCTGCCTTTTAACCGAACGCAACTTTAGGTCCAGTTGAAGTTGCTAAGGAGACTAAGTACCGATTCTTAGTCTCATTGGAACTAATGATTGACGTAGCTGGCTCGTAGGTGGTTTCTTGAAAGTCCGGAGCTGTTGTGATGGTTAGTAGGGAGCTGTACCAAAGCAAACGTTGGGGTAGTCACTCAAAAGGACTAAAAGACATTGCAATATTCCGTTTGTGTGACTACCGGTGTAATGCCTTGTTTATGCGACTATCTGACGTTTGGTGGTCACTTTAGGACTTTTCTAGGCCCAGTACACGTGGGCTGGCCTTCGGGCCACGCTCAGGCCCCATTTCTCCTATTGCTTTCGAAATACATGCATTCAACCCCACTTATGCCTTCTACTAACCCATTGGAAGCCTCGGGACACTACACTCGTGGCAGCGGAAAGCGAACCCGACATCTTTTTAACGAATTTTTGGTATAAGGTG